ATCCTTGTCTGACCCTCACAAAAGGACTGTCCTGGAACCATTCCAGTCAAATTGGCATCCCATCATTAACAGCTCAAACCAGCCCCTATGGAAATATGATTTTTAATCTTTATTCTAATTTCACAGACAAGAAAGTTAGTTTTTAAAAAGGAAGGAGACAAACAAGGGGGGACAAAACTACAACCTCCTTCCCAAACACACACCTACCCAGAGAGGACTTTCTATAATGACAATTTTGAAAACTGTGACCTTATAGTGGGGAGGGTATCATGTGAGGCAAATGGAAAACATGTTTTTATAAACAATTACAGCCCTAAGTAGGAACTGAGTCATGGGCTGCAAAATTCACTATAAACTTGGGAAAATACCACCAGGCAGGAAATTCCGCATTAGGAAGCCAACGCATACTGTAAATTAGCTCTTTCTACCCCACTGGGTGGTGAGTGACCTTCCTGGCCTCTTGGAGCTCTTGGCAAAAGCTCCTAACACTGTTACTGTGGAAAAGGCTTCGTTTTGGGGACTGAAGACTTCGAAGGACTGCAATTTCATGTGAAAGACTGGAAAAGTTATGTCCTCTGCTAATCCTAAGAGGCTTATCCAGCCTCCATTTTGTTACCTACAGCTCTGCATTCCTAAAGCAAGGTCAGAACTGCTGGGTCATAGGCGCCCAACCCTACAAGATGACCTTCAAGTCAATCAAGAGCAAAGCTGAATCCCTCTGGGAAGGGTGTGCATCAAGAGGTATGACCAGGAATGCCTGGGTGGGGGAGTGGGAGAGGGAGGGCTGATGATGGATGCATAAACTTACTCCTGACTTAAACATCATGAGGTAAGACTGGAAGACCTGGTGGTGTATAATGAAGGACCCCAGGAGCTCATCAGTGGAACACTTTGTTGATAAGACTGAAATCCTGACTGGGGAATTAGGGTTTGATACCAAGCTATCAGAAGATCAGAAGTACAGTTCCACCCTTCCCCTTCTTCTACTTCCCCATCTCCTTTTCTGCTTCCCCATAATATTTTATCAATAAAATGGCCAAGATCTTGCTTTTGAGCAGCATTCTGTATTATGTAGCAGTGTGGTGCTGCCCAAGGCAACAAAGTTTCCCATAAGCATGAGTGCAGATCTAGAGGAGAAAAGGCAGATTACCTGGATTCAAATCCCAGCTCACAAAACCATTTCCTAGCTTTGTGACCTCAATGATCATTTTGCTTTTACTTCCATCATCTATAAATTGGGAAGGATAATGTTCTCTACCTTACTTGATCATAGTGAAGACTAAATGACTCACATATACAGAGTATTTAGAATTGGGGTACAAGTTCTGCAGCTTATTTAATAATTACTTACTAATTAGTAATCACTGTTGTTACAGACAGGCACAGACAGTGAGGGTTTCATTTAAATTTCCCTTTCAAGCTCAAAAAGTATTGTATCAAAAAACAACAGCTAGGAAAAAAATCCCAGGTGAGCTCTAGATTCTGTTAGGCTAAATTCATCGAAAAACCAGTCAATTCATATTTTCTGAGTTCTTACTATGAACAAGATGTGATATCAGCTAACAGCAACCCACCTGCCTTTGTCTAGACACCCTGGCTCATTAGGGACCTGGGTTCAATAGGAGCATGGAAGGAGAACCCTTCCACAGGGGTCAGAATTCTTGATTCTGCTCAGGATGTCAAATGCCTTGGGCCTCCCTTCAGAGCACTTTTACAATATTGTTTTAAGAGAAAAAAGTTAGCTGGTAAAAACCTAGCCAAACAGTGTAACTGGACTGGCTCATACCTGTTTCATGCATTCAGGGAAACTCCACAATCCTGAAATTCCCCCTTCCCTCCATTAAAGTCCAAACAATGAAAATTGATGCCAGAATGAAGTGGCCAATTGGCATAGAGACCTCTTCTGCCTCGCCTGCTGCTCCCCTCATCAGTGTATTTCAGTGCATCTGCCTGGTCTGTTCCCCACTCTGTCTCTGGTGAGTCCTCTTACCCTCCCCCCCACCCTGCACCTCTGGCCTACACTCCAATTCTTGTATGCACAAATAAATGAATCTTAACAAAAAAAAAAAAAAAAAGCAGATACTAGGGCCTCTCTGATGGTACAAGGGGTTAAGTCTCAGCATTATGAAGCAATGTGCTGCCACTGCAGCACAAAATCAATCCCCAGCAGGGAGGTGACCCACATGGCACAGCAGGCGTCTATCTTGCCCAATGCTCCCCTCAAGCAGTGTCTTTTAGTCATTACACCTGTTTTGTTCCCCACTCTGTCTCTGGTGAATCCTCTCACCCACCTACCAGCCTTGCACTTCTGGCCTTCACCCCAGCTCTTGTAGACATAAATGAATAAATCTTTAAAAAAAAAAAAAAAAAAAGGAAATTTTAGCTCAAGTTTGAAAACCACTGGAATAAGTGTTTGCTGAATGAATAAATGAATTATAGTAATTATAGTATAAGTTCCATAAAAGTGCATGAGATGGTAATGATGATGAGCTGGTCCTGACAAGCTCATGCCTCACATTGACTATTGGCTTAGTTTACAACAGACTGAAAGACAAGTAAGAAAGGTGCTGGCCGAAGCTAACAGTCTGTGTGTGCTCATGTCTCTGTGTAAACTGGGCTCTGTACATATCTGTGCATGTGACAGAGTTCTCAGCACACAGGAACATGCAGTTTAGGAGAGGCAAGAGTTGGTAAAAATGGCCATTTCTCACTCTGATGGCCTATGATTAAGGAGGTATTTTGATGAAAACCTTGCCAAAATTTTCTGGTTTAGATTCCCACCCCACCCCACCCCCTTCCACTGGGATGACAAAAAGAATCACCCAAAGACCATTACTTTCCCATTCCAGGTGTAGTTTACAGGCAATTAGAGGTAACAGGGTTTCAAGTGACACAAAGTATAGTTTTGCCGTCAAGTAAATAAGTTCATCCCAACACTCAACCTCCTAATTCAACACTCTGCCTCCTAACATGAGGCAGAGATGAGGGCCCTAAAAATGCAGAGAAATCAAAGAATTCTGAAAGGGGTAGAACATTCACTAGCACTGCCTGACCAAGAGTCCATTTCTGGACACAGATAAAAGGAAAGTTTTGTTTTTACAGCCTTTGTCCCTCCCTCCAAAACTTGGAAAGCACAGGCCAACTCAAATAATGGCAAGTCTTTTCTCCCCATCTAGACTCTGGTCTCTAGCCAGATTCTGGTCTGGCCTCTGTTTCCCCAACTGACCATTACTGGAGAAATAACCAGCCATCCTGGATGCTCTTGTAAGCCCTTGGGGTGTAGGACTACTTGCTCCCCAGAATGCCTCCCAGTCATCTCAGGCTCCCTGTCCCTATCACTCCAGCCCCCCTGCCCTGGCCTTTGTGACTCAACTATGATGGTTACTGAATCTGCTCTGCCAAGGCCAGGCAGCTCTGTCAATCCGAAATGGATCTATCATCAGCTCCAGTACTCTCCACCACTGATGCCGCCTGGGCCGGGCCCCAGAATAACAACCTGCAGCTCTGAGGCTCTCTGGCAGTACAGCTTCAACTTTTATTTTAACAAGGGGTGGGAAGAACTGCAATCCAGCACATATCTGCATTTTAAAATATTTAAACACTCTATCCACCTGCTTGGCACTTTGTGCTCTTTAGTAAGTCTCCCAGTCCCACCCTTTCTAAAATAACTGTTCTTTGCCCTCCTCTGCCACTCACGCACATGGAGGACTAGCTGGGATTCGGGAGTTGAGTCCTTTCCTTGAGGGAGGAGTCTGCAATTGACTGATTCTGGAACCTCAGAAAGGCAGAAAGGCCTCTCTTAACCCTGGGCTGGGAAGAATCAGGTGAAGAAGTAGTTCTGTTCCAGGAACCACTCCTACTGGCTGTAAGACACAATTGTGTTCCAGAGAGCAGGCGTTCTCAGCCTGCTAATTTCCTTTCCAAAGCAAAGGACAGCCCTTCAGCTGCATCCTTACCATTGCACTGATGTGAAGGGGAGATCAGAAAGGACACGGGAGAAAGGATGATGGCAGTATTAAGGTCATGGAGGCACAAATAAGCAGAGTTTGTTTCCAGAAAGAGTGACAGAGGCTTCAAACTAGCAGGAAACAGTCTCCATTTCCTCTCTCAACAGATCCTTGTAAGGACTTTTGCTCTGCTGGTCACTGATGGACTCTACCCAAAGGACAATCCCACCCTCTTAAGCATCCTACTAAGTCTTGTCTGAAGGCTGAGAAGATAAGAGAATGTCTGCTTTTGAACCTTCAAGCCTGGGTCACTCCCTGAAGTGATATGGTCAGTCACCAGCCTTGTACAACTGCAGAAGGTACAGTAGTCTTGGCTTCAAGCAAACCAGTGATAGACGAGAACTGTCTGCACAGCCTTTACTGAGGCTAACAGAGTAGGTATGAGAGAAATCTGCACACACGAGTTTGAGAACTGGGGAAGGAACAGATGATTGAACCTCCTAGACTCCGTCCCAGAAGGGCTCCGTATAGACAGGGATTTAGGGGGAAATTGTATCTTTAAGAGGGACTTTCAGAAATAGTGGTAGCTCCTTGATGCTCTATGGGGCTTTCTAGAAGCAGCTTGTGGTGTTTACAAGATGGCCTGTCACCCACAGAACACAGCCCAGCATACCCAGCAGCTTGGTTGCTACAGCAACTCTGCAAAAACGGCAAATCTGGGTCTCTGGGCAGATTCATGGAAGGATCTAAGTTGTTATCACTGCCTGGCACACACTGGAGAGAGCATCAAAGAGAATCACAGGCAGGAGTTCTGTAGCACACCTGGCTACCACAGCCTCTTTCTAAGATGCAGATCTCATACTCCCGTATGTTTAGTATACAGTACACAGAACACCAGAGCTTGACTTCTCCACAAAGGAGCTGCTTTGGGAAGCAGAAACAGATTCTACTCGCCAATACTAGCCCCAAGGGAATGAGAAAAGGGGTGATCAATCAGCCCATGGTTTTCCAATCTGCAGAGGCAGTGAGAATAACCTCCAGGCAAGGACTTACACCAGAGTTCATAATAGTAGTTGCAGCACTGAGACTGTCCACAGCAGTGTCCTGTGTCACAGATGTAGCTTTGATTGTTGGTACCCACACAGGTTTCCTTATCCTAAAAAAAAAATAAATAAAAATGCATCTTAGGGTATTTTAGTTTTTAAAAACCATGTTTCTTCTCATCCCCTTCTTCCTGCTTGTCTACCAAGGTCTACACTAATGACTGGTCCATTAAAAAATATATATTTTAAAGAATCACACCACAGCATCTTTAAGAAGGAAAAAATTGTTTCATAAAGGGGGGAAAGGATTCAGCACGCAAAACCAACTGGCAAAGTGCAGCGTTCTCCTGAGACAGGAAAGGCTTTTCTTAATGTCCAAGCAGAAATATTTCCTGTTCCAGTGTTAGACTCAGCTGGTGAGAAGGTGATGATTCTCCTATAATTAGCAGTATGTCTTAAATAAAGCTGGCTTTTCTGTGAAACTTCCTGGAAATTTTAATTCTGTATGTATTCCAGGATTAAGATCTCATCAAGTTATTCCACCTCTCTACAAAACACATCATCTCCAAGGTTAATTAATTACAGTGTGATTCAAAAAGAGGGCCAAGAAAATCTGTATTAAAATTCTTTGCTCTGAAGAAAAAGGATGAGGGGCCTCCCTGGTGGCATTGGGGTTAAAGTCTCAAACTATCACCAACCACTGAGTTCAATCCCCAGCCAGGAAGGTGACCCACATGCTGCAGCAGACCTCTTCTGTCGCCCACTACCCCCCTCAGCAGTGTGTTTCAGAAGATCTGCCTGTCCTGCTCCCCACTCTGTGTCTGGTGAATCCTCTAACCTTTCCTTCCCCCTGCCCCCCTGCCTATGAGACTGTTCTTGTATGCATAAATAAAATAAATCTTAAAAAAAGATAATAACTACTCCACCAGCCAAACTTAACTTTAGACCAAAATGTATTCTCACAATGCATTTGATAAAATCACAATGCATATGAAGTCGTTAGGTCTGGCTTTCAAAACTACTTTACTCCAAAGAAGTAAACTTGTATTTATGGGTCTTTGTATTAAGTACAGTATTGTATACAGAGATACATGGATGAATAAGATATTGTCCCTATCCTCAAGAAATTGGGAGGTAAGAAGGGGGAAAAAATAAAAAACTCTGCTAAGCAAAGAAACTTAAAACACAGTATTTATCTGCTGCTACTCAGTCTGACCTTGCTCACATCCGGGGGATGCCTGCCAGTGGAAACTTAAGCCACATGGTTAGTTGCTCCTCTCTGAGACCTGCTTTACTACTCTGTCCACTTGGCTAAGGGTATAAACAAAGCACTGTCCACAGGACTGTGGGTAGGCAGCAACAATTCAGTTCCTGAAAGGCACATGGGCAGACCAAGGGCATTGCTCAAAAATCAGAGGCCTGGTCGGTGCCACCATACACATCTTTCAGGTCTTTCTGGCCTGGAATTCCCCTGGTAGGAAGGAGTTCCAAGAAGGAAACACAGGAAGGATATGTGTAGCTTCTGACAATGAGAATTTCACAATACTGCAAACAAGTTCTTCCAAGCTTTGCCTTCCATGTTCACCATAAACAAAATGGAACACCACTGGGCAGTCATCCAGCTGATGTCTCCCCGAGGCCTGCTGCTCATGAAGAAGGCAGCTATGTGCTCTCTGCTTTTGTTAGAACACAAGCTCTCTGATTTCAGAGCAAACAGAACTTTCATAAGGACATCAAAACATCTTTCCCAAGTTTACCAGGGCCTGGAATGCCATTCTTCTGGCACTGGCTCACAAGAGCACAGTTCAGAGTGTCCAAATAGTTTGTAGAGGGGGCCGTGATACCTACATGCAGACACATGAAAGAACCCAGCCACATTTCTGCCTCTGGAAAATTCACCAGATGAAGTTCAGGCTCTGAACACGGGGTGGCCAACTGGTCCTAAATGAGGCATGTAATGAGACAAGTTTAAATCTCAACAAGTGGCATCCTCTTGACCTACTGGAAAAAGGCTCTCGTGGGCTCCTCCATGAACCAAAGCAGGAAGACTGGGATAAAGGACCAAACTCACTTTCCCTCTGCTGCCTCCACCTCTCTAAGGAGAGCTTTCCTTCCAAGTATCTCTAGCACTTTACACTTACTATGTCATTCTGCTCAACAACCAGAAGAGCCAGTAAATGTCCCTCTCATCCCCCTTTCTCCAGAGAGTGAGCCAGAGAATGGATTCTGTCATCTCTGTGGGCAGAAACCCTATGTCTCTGACCCCCCAGACCATGCCCATTAGGAACGCAGCGCTTGGCACTTAAAGTAGCGCTGGCCACGTAGCTTCCACAAGGCAGAGAGGAAGCTCGGGGGATGATGGCCAGTGGGCACTGAGCACTCGCCAGTCTCAGGTGTTGCTCTAGGCTTGATATACAACCCCTTTGTTTAAAGGCAACAGCTCTGTAATTGGGTAGTATCAGGCACTGTAGTTGAGGGTGGCCTAAGATTATACACCCAGGAAAGAGTCCAATCTAGTTGGTGTGACGCTAGAGTTTGAGCTTCTAACAGGGAAGCTGCGGCCTCCTTGTTGAACTTATACTTCTTCAGTTGTTTTTTATTCTTAAGTTGCTTCAGTAAATAAAATACAGATTCCAACTTTTGGGTGTGGGGAACAAGGCCCTTCATCTTCCACTTGACAGCAAGGAGGGGAACCAGGCACAGGGCTCCTCCCTTCTCAGTACCAGAGGCTGCATCCTCCTCCTCACACACTCATTTTTTGTAAGCAACATGTTGCCCCAGAATGGAATGTGGGGCCTTCATTCCTTCAACCTCTACTGAGCACCTACACCCCACACAGGCATTAGGATCAGACTATGTACAAGGGTAACCTGGTCAGAACTACATTTTTAAAAGACAACTTCTTTCTGGCAATTTTCATTTGTACAAAATTCCAAGAACAAAAAAGCTATAAACAGGACTTCTTACAAAAGAACGTGAGGTAATTAATACACATGCTTATGCTGAGCATGGTTTTTTGCCTTGGGAGTGACATGGCTGCTAGGGTCCCACTGGTTACAGGTACTTGCCCTCAGCCCCGATACCAGCTAGCTCCCAGGTGCAGGGCACACATGGAAACCCAACAAAAGCACAGGCACAAAAAAGCAAGAAAGACCAGCACTGAATTGGAAAGAATATTTTTACAATGGAAAAGAAAAACTGCATTTTACACATTTGCAAAAAATTATCTCATCTGTTTGGTGGCATCAAAAACTGTGGGACTAACAACTTTTCCTTAACAGTTTCCATGTCTTATAGTTGCTATATTTAGCTGAGCCACTGTAAAGGTCAATTTAATCAGCATAACAACTTTCTAAGTACCAGCACGAAAGAGACACTGGGCAGTAGTGCTTCCCCAGGGATGGTCTGAATTTGCCAATTTAAAGAACTGTAAAATCCTGCTAGCAATAGGCTAATAACATCTTCATGATTTCAGAAAACACTCAAGTTTTAACATTTAAAAGTAAAAAAATAGTAAAGCTGGTATCCTTCACAGATACTAAGCACAGGACTCTGACTTCCTTGGTTGCTGGATGTGAACTCATTTGTGGTACCACCTTTTTCCATGGAAAAAGAAATCATTTATAAAGGGAACACAGGAAGATACATGGGGAAAAAAGAAAATGATGTACTTAAAGAGTTAACTGAAAAATTTCAACACTAATTTTTAATAATATATTAATAATACAAGTATAGGGCCCTCCCTGGTGGTACAATGGGTTAAAGCACAGCACTATCAAGCTATCACAGCCATTGCAGCATGAGTTCAATCCCTAGCCAGGGAGGTGATCCACATGGTGTGGCAGACCTCTCCTGACCCGCCTATTGCTCCCCTCAGCAGTGTACTTCGTCAGCCTTCCTGTTCTGCTCCCCCCACTCTGTCTCTGATGAATCCTTTCACCCCTGCACCTGTGGCCTGTATCCCAGTTCTGTATGCACAAATAAATAAATCCTTAGAAACATACATACATACATATAAAACACACAAGTATACATTTTTAACTGAAAATACAAATTTGCAGTTGCACTCTGCAGCTGCAAGCACCAACCAAACGTTAACAAGTGAAATAAAAATTTAAAAGAGTAGTAAGTTCCATAAGGTTAATAAAACAGGACAACAAGACAAAGATTTTTAGGTGGGACAGTCAGAAAGGCATCCCTAGGAAGATGAAATGTGAGTTGAACCCTGAATGATTACAGGGAATCAGGTGAAGCAGTGTTCCGACAGATGGAATGTCAAGCACTTGTAAAAACACCAATTCAGAAATCAGTCTAGGGTGCAAGGAAAGTGAGAAGGTAGTGAATCTCAGGAATAGTAGTGTGAAAGGAAGAGTTGATAATGCAGCAGAGACCAGACCATGTATTTATGTACAACACTTAATATTCAAGTACATAGTTTGCAAATTAATCATTGGCCTTTTAGATGAAAACTTGAACATAAAATTTGAATATCCAAATTCCTTATATTTCCTTTTTAACTGGGTGCCCATTCCTGACACCTTCTGCTTCCCTACCCCCCCCCCAACACCTTTCAAATGGTGGTTGATACTATAGAGTAACCAATAAAATCAACTTTCCTTCCATTTTTGAACCAGGAGGAGTTTTCCAGGAAATAGACCAACCCTAGCACTGTACATCTTGGAGCAGATTCTATCTCATTTTGGCAATAGTCTTCAGGAAAAGGATGACAGACAAAAACAACCAACTTTAACTTAGAATCACCTATTTGGTTTTATCCAAATCAAGCCAGGAAACTGAACCAGGTAAAATCTCTCGTAATTGTGTAATCTGTACAGTTCTCATAACTGACAGTGTACTTTACCACTCCAGGGCCCTAAACTCCAGCTTACTGTCTCAGTAGTGCCCAGTCTCCCATCCTCAAACTGCAGAATACCTGGAAGGGGAGCTGGTGACACATTAGAGAAAAGCCTACAACCAATGGGAGCAGCTATAGATTTACGATGTGTTTAAAAAGTGAGTTGCTGAAGGGAATCCAAAGGGCCCTCTAGCAAAGACAAGGGTTCCTTTACTTCACTTGTAGGTCTCCCAGGTTTTCTATCTGGGGAATTCCAAA